GACCTGGCCGGTAGTACTACTGTAAGCAATGGCCGTCGAGCGGCGAGCTCATTCCGCTTTCGTCTCTTACACGCACAGGCGTTGCCAAGACACTTCTGACCCCGAATAAAAAGGAGGAACCATGCGCGCGACTCGAGTCATGCTTTTGATCCTGCTAGTGCTGCTTGCGAGCTCCATCCCAATTGCAACTACTGCGACGTTCGGCGAGATTAATGCTGTGGCAACTTCCTCTGACCACGAGCGCGCCATCGAATACCACCGCTACCTCAGAATCAGTAAAGTAACCAAGTTGAAAATGAATGGCGAGGAAAGAGTTGGTGCCGCAACTCCCCAGTTTAGCCAGTTGTGGAGAGGATTTTTGTATCAGCTGCCAGCAGCCTTCAAAAACAATCCTGTGACCAAGTTGCTGAAATGGTTTGTACGCTTGATAGGCAAAGGAATAGTGAAGTTGCGCCGGATGGTAATGATTAAGGCTCACAGCAGCAACCCTGGCACAGCGTAAATATTAGGATGGAGCTAACCAAAAACAAAATCAGTTCTCGAGAATCATTGTAGTTATTTATTTGCCTTTTTAAGAGTTTGCGACGTAGACAGCTAACTTGTTTATCGATCATCTTCGTGGACTATCAGGCTTGCAAGTCGCACCAGCTGGCTTGTACGTTTTCAACTCCACTATTTGGATAATAACCGCTGTCATGCAAAGAAACAAGTATCACTAATAAGAAATTAGCATTATTTTATTTATGAGCATTTCGCTAGCCTCCGATAAAATCCGTCGTCCATGGCGCTCGTTTGGAGAGAGAAGCTGCCATATCCTGTTGAATTACTCGCAACTCGGTTGCAACTTCAGAAGCCGTCGGTCGTCTGTCTGGGTTTCTAGCAACACATCGCTTCACTAATGCTTTCAGTGCTTGTTCACTCGTGTGGCGAAGCTTTGGATACAGTGAGCCTGTCGCGACTCGATGCATGATTGTTGTATCTGTCAAGACCTTTCCATTGGGCCCACGAGTGTTGCTGTACGGAATCCTGTTCGTGTCCAACTCCGTCAACAAGACCCCAAAACTATAGATGTCAGCTGCGCGATCGTAGTCGGTATCTCCCCGAATTACTTCGGGTGCTAACCATCGACTGGTGCCAACACCGCCTGACATCGTGTTGTCTTCCGATCTAAAGCGAGACTTGCCAAAGTCACTAAGTTTTGCCTTGAATCTTGAAGAAAGTAGCACGTTTTTCGACTTGAGGTCGCGATGAAGTAATGGCGGTACGAACGAGTGTAAATACACGAGTGCTTCGGTGATGCTGATAGCGACCGCAAACTTGTGGTGTGTCCACCCAGTTGGGGTCGTTGGACTGGACAAAAATCGACGCAGATCACCTCCCTCCATATACTCGAGTATCATCTGTAGATCGCTCTCCATTGTCCACCCAGCACCGACAAATTTCACAATATTCGGGTGATCAAAGTTGGCCACTAGTTTGATCTCCTCCACGAAAGCTGCCACATTATTCTTTGTGTATCTGTCCGGCCGAAGACGTTTGGACGCGAGAAGCTGTAGATTTCGATAGCGTACAAGCCAAACAGTAGCGTATCCTCCTTGACCTAGTTGCTTGAT